GTGCTGAAATGAAGTGCTGAGGCAAAGTGCTGAAAACAACAAATGATTTACAGTCAAAGGATTTGCTGTACATTACACTTTTAAATGACATTACACAATACAAATGTAGAATAATAATTTTTTGCGGTCTAATAAAGGTGTTGCATTCTTCTGCATTTTTATTGACTAAGAAAAGGTTTCTTTGCCATTTGGTTTCCCCCCTTTTTCTTAGGGCTTATACATTAACTCCCTGTACCAGAGAAAGTAAGATATTTCACTGACAATGGTGAATTAACATGCTGCCAAGTAAAATGCAAAAGGATCAAGCAGCATGATTGTAGCAGGAAAATACTATACAACTCTCCTCTTCCAAGATGAGTTATATGTTCAAAATATATTTCATGAGACACCATGATCACACTTGTGTGATCATCTAGACATGGTGGTCATAAATGTCCACCCTGCCCCCTCCCATTAATGAAGACTATAAATCACATCAACTGTCAAAAATTTAAGGTGAAACACACTATGTTCAATAAAAAATGCATCAGTAGATAACAAGCTGTTATATCAAACCAGATAACTAACTAGGGAAGGTGAAGGTTAAGTGGTCAAAATCAAATCCTAACTACAGTATGTCCTTCAACAAATCCTTCCTACAGTTAGATTTAGGCGTCCTCCAGTCTCAAGAGACTATGGTAATGTGCTCTGTATGGAGGACTGTGAACAGCGTCTAGTGTGGCTGAGAAGGCCAGATCAAGAGTGACAATCCCTTCCACACTGAAGACAATCTGTCCACTGTCCAGCTCCCTGATTTTGCTGCTTTCGGGACTGCCTCTTTACCTTGGCCTGCTGGACAAGGGTCTCTTCAAATTGGGAGAGGCCATGAGGCACCGCCTGCCCCCAGGCTGAATGCTCAGATGTCAAGGTTTCCCACCTGTTGAGGTCCATTCCTAAGGCCTTCAGATCCCGCTTGCACATATCCTTGTACTGCAGCTATGGTCTCCCTCTGGGGTAATTTCCCTACAGTAGGAGCCACTGAAACATTGATCTGGCATTTTTTAAACTAGTGTTTTCAAACTTTGATCCTTCAGATGAGTCAATTCCTAGAAACCCAAGAACAAGGATTCTGGGAGGTTCAAAACAGCTAGAGGACTGGAAATTGGAAGTCCCTGAATGCTCCCTTTCAATAAACTGTTCTAGCAACACTTCTATAAGTTGAATCAGTATCATGGTTCTTACACCAGGGATATAGAAATGGGCATGAACCAGGAAAAATAGCAGTTCATCTCAGTTCATGGTTCGTTGATGTCCATGAAATTCTGAACTTTTCTGGAATGAACCATGGATCAGTTGCTTGGCCCTATAAAATAGCCACTGCTTCTAAAATTTATTTTCTTCCCCACTGCACCCATTGCCTTCCTACCTTTTGCTACTACCACCTCCGCCACCACTGCCATCTTGAGAGGCAGCTTGGCCAGCTCCCAAAGCAGGCTACCTCTGAGCATATGCCCACCTCTCAGCTAGGAGGTGGGAGCATATGCAGAGGCAGCCCCAGTCTGCCTCTAATTATTTTTAATTGGAAAAAAATGAGAGGTAGTCCGGGGTTGCCTCTGTACATGCGCAGAGGCAGCCACAGTCTATAAATTAAATTTATAGATTTCTTTCTTAGATTTCTTATATTTCTTTCCAAAAGCAGCTCGGCTGGCTCCCACAGGCTGGGATGCATCTGCAGATGCATCCAGCTTTAAATTTTTGGAGATGTAGCCTGGCCTGTGGGAGCTGGCTGGGCTGCCTCTCAACAACAACAACAAAAAACTGTGGGAGCCACTGGGCAGCCTCTCAAGATGGTGGCAGCGGAAGAGGCAGCAGCTGCAAAAGTTAAGAAGGTGATGGGGGCAGTGGGAAGGGAGAGGGGCAGGCTGTGGGGAGCAGAAAAAACCAGGGAGTCCAAGGAAACATAATAAAGTTTCTGGTTTGGGCTCTCCAGTTTGGAACTGACCCGAAGCTTCAATTTCCCATGAAGTTCCTGGTTCATTTTTTCGTTCATGCTTATCTCTACCAAGGAACCATCTTTAGCCCTAAAATGATTATTACACCTTCTACTTAATTTTACAATATAAGAATTATTCTGTTACTGATAATGCTCAATTTAACGCTAAAGGATCGTTATAGGGCCTGATTATTGGTTTGTTGTCATAAGATGTCCACTGGAGGTGCTTTTTCTCGTATATTATCTTCTAAGCTTTTCCACAGAACGCAGGGCTGACTAATTGACATATCAAAAGAGCTTTGAGTCAAAAAGGGATCTCCATCTCTCTAAAATGGTGATAAAATACCTACTGTTTCACACTTCCTGTTGGTCACAGTACTTCCCTTGGCCAAATGCGGTTCCAAGCATTCAATCTCAAGGGATAGGTTTTCACAGCTAGCCCATCTCAAAGAACTTCTTCATTCAAAAAGAGAACAAAGGTTTCCAGAGGTTTAAAGGAAAGAACTTGAACACTGACAAAGAGACGACTCTCACCAGCATGCTGCCTGGAGACACAGGGCAAGAACTGAGTGAAGTCCTAAGGGGAGATCATTTTTAACATGGAGAGGGACAGAGCAGAAAGGCCTAATAGCCAGCTTCAAAGTGAGAGGCCTCCAGAATCAAGTAAGCTTAGACTGTCATGGGAAATGCCATTGACAGTTATGTTTAGAAATCCAGTAAGTTAGCTTGTTGCATTGCCTGATTACCTATTCCATGTGATTTTCCCTTTAGTTGTCCTTGCAAACTTATAGCTTTTTCCTATTTTTGTCTTCTACCTTTTACTTCTTCTTAATAAAGCTTTTTTGGTTAGACTTTCTTTCTGATACCATTGTAAAACACTCCGAGGTTAAGAGCCTCATGGCACAGTAGTTAAACTGCAATACTGCAGCCAAAACTTTGCTCATGACCCAGGGTTCAGTCCCAGGTAGCCTGCTTGACTCTGACTCAGCCTTCCATCCTTCTGAGGTAGGTAAAATGAGCACCCAGCTGGCGGGGAGGGGCAATGTATAGCCTGCGTAATAAAAAATTTAAACCCCATCTCAAGAGCGCTTTAAGTGCTATGGGGTGGTATATAAGCAGCATGCATTTTTGTTTGTTCACTTTAAACTAAATCCACCAGCCAGGTCAATCATGACCACAATCACCTTGTAGTTGCCTATGTGTGTGCGCTGAGTGCAAAAGGATTCTAACCGGAAAACTGGAGGAAGGTGGCAGTCCTGCCAAAGAGTGAAGAAAGGGCGGTGAGGGGTCTCTGAAGTTCAGTGGAGTGCTTTCTGCTCATTGGGTCACCCAGCAGGTTTTCCCCCACCTGGCAGAAAGGGCAGTGGCAGCTGGAGTAAGGCTCAGAGGAATATACCCCTCATCTGCCCTATTGCCACATTTGTGCAGGTCCTTCAGAACTTGGAAAGCTAGTTTTTTAAAAGAAAAAAATGCCACTCAAAAATTACTCATAACTGAAAAATAGTAGGAAGCTTGTTTAAGGACTACAGCACTTCACCTGTAAAAATCCCACCCAAGAAATTAGTACCTTGCCAAGGAAGTGCTAAATTCCATGAGTTTTAGTTATGTATAAAATACACATTTTCCCTCTTATAATCCTACTTTGGGGATCCAGAGAAATACATAACCAGGCTGAGAAAAAGAAAGGCAGGTTGTGAACCAACTGAGGGTCCTCCTGACCCATCTAAGCAACCCACAGTTTAAATGACCCACACTTACTGTACTCAACACTGCAATGCCTGCCCGTAGACAAATGTGAAGGTATTTCTGCAGTAAATTCCTGCATGATCAGGTCATGCTGATGTTGGGCTCCACCAATGTGGTTGATCACCAAAATATTCTTGGCTGGATGGAATTGTTAATAGGAAAGGACGTACAGTACAGCTATGTTTAATAAGATCCTTGTAGATGAATCCTCAGATTACTTAAAACAGGCTAATCACCCCTTTTTAAAAACCCTGCTCACTGCAAGCCTACCCATGCTTATTTAGAAACACCATATGAACTATACTCAATGGACTCGCTCCCTAATAAATATATTCCAGTTTACAGCCTTGAGTGGGATCCAGGTTTTGCCCTATTGACATCGACCCAGCCAAATCACTTGTCATGACTTACATGCCTCGAATTTCACTGGAAAGACTGAATTTGAATCCAAAACACAATCAGTGATGAAGAGTGCCCAGAAAATTGTATTTCCTTAACTCTCTTGGTAAATGCAATGCAATGCGATGGGATGGGAAGATCTAACCTAGGCTGTGTCCTAAGAACCCAGGCTGAAACTGACAAGGGCTCGGCGGTCGCTGTTCTGAGGTCGTGAAGCAGAAGGTGGCGTGTCCGCGGTGCTCGTGTGAATGAATGCCCAACCTCTCAAAGAGAACAACAGGGACTTGTGTGGCAGAAAAGGCTTTCGAGCGATTCAGAAGCCGCTCCCTCCCATTCAACGTCTTAGGAAGCGGAGTCGCAAGTCTTCGAAAGCCTCCGTCCCACAATACATCCATTCATCTTTAAAAGCTTTCCCCGCCACCCACCGGCAGAGTTTGGGCGAAAAGCTCGCCGCCACTTCAGCCTGGGCGCTCCGCCCGCCGCCTTCCCGCGAAGCGAGAGCGCCTAGGCTCTCCGCGACGGCACCCCGCTTTTGCCCGGCGGTCTGAAACCCTGAGGGGGGAAAGAAACCAGCCGGAGAGAGGAAGCCGACGCCAAAGGGGAGGCGACCGGCTCCTCCGCTCTCCGCCAAGCCAGTCCATCCCACGAACAAACTTCAGGGAAAGGAGGGAACCGTCCTCCATATCCGGTTCTCCTCACGGACGGGCAGAAGGCGGGAGACTGGCCGCTGGGCTTCAGTCGCTTTTTCGGCTTCTTGGTGCTTTTTTATTTTCCCCCGTCCGAGTAGGAGGGGAGGAGGAGAAAAAGAAGCGACGCGCTGCCTCCCGCTTCTTCCAGCAAACGCGAACAACAAAATGTCCCCGGTCCGCTTCCTCTTACTCACCTCGGGTGCAGAGCGACAGGAGGAAAAGGCAGGCGGCCAAGGCGGGAGGCGTCGCGAAAGAGCCGCGCTCCTCCTCGCGCGGCATTTTGGCGGCGGCGGCCCTTCTCCTCCTCCTCCTCCCCCCCTTCCCGCCCCTGCCGACTTCGCAACTGCGAGGAAGGGAAACGGCACGTCCTGGTAGCTCTCCGTCTCTGCTGCAAAAGCAGAGAGCCTCTTCCAAGCGGCCTCTGGATGGTATCGCCGCCCAAACAGCAACCGGGAAGCCGAGGAAGGGAGAGGAAGAGTTGGGGGGCATCGGCGCCATCTAGCGGGGCAGACGTTTGCTGGGGCCTCTTGTCGTGTTTCGGCCCAAGTTCTCTGGAGCAACCTCGTGCGCCACAAATGAAGGACTTCGTAAATGGCTACGGGTTCCTTTAACTTTGACTCTTTGGAGGGCCACAACCCTCAGAGCCACGGGCGCGACGCACTGAAGTGCTGCCTTTGTGGTGGAGTTTATTTTCACTGCTCTCCCCCCCCTCCTCACGAACTTACACAACAGCTAGAAGAAATGGAGGAAAATCTCTTTTCTCCTCAACCTACACATGTCTGTCAGTGTTCAATGAAGCTTATAGAACATGACATAGAAACAGAATTAAGATGTATCTAACTACTGTAGCTGACTTCAGCCTTGCGTGAGCTGCTTGGCTTAAATCAAGAGTCCTTGAGGTCCGCTTCATAGTGATTTTTAAGGTAGACAGAAAAGTTTGTATTCATAAGGTGGATGATTGATCTGGACTTGTAAGAAAGCAAAGGGCAAGCTGTAGGGCGGCCAACTAAAAATCTGGCCACTGGTTTCCTATGCTTTCCTGACTTTCCTCACGCCTGATCAAACGCATAAGGACAGTTCTGCCCTTATTTTTCAGCTTTTTATCCTTTCTCTCCCCAAACCTGCTCTCAAAAACTAGGCAAAATCCTGTGAAACTCAATGGATTTTATGGTTTAAAATGGCAATATACACACCACCATATACTTTTGTTTTGAGGAATTACTAAATCAACAAGAAACCAGTTAACTGTATCCTTTAGTTAAAGAGACACAGCCTGTGCCAAACTTCATTAATATTTATCTCTAGTCCATTCAAACACAATCTACACATGCCTCCTGTCTACCTGCATTTTCAGCATAAGCAATTTTAAAAGTTAATTTTTTTCACCTACTTCCTTAATGTACATGCCCAACGTCATACAGTATATTAATAGTTATCACTCAATTACCTTTTAGTCAAATGTGGTCAGGTGGTAAAGATTCTCTTCTATGCTTGATGATGCAGCTCATTACTCAAACCCATTGTTATCTGGTTCAATATCTCAAAATACGTTCATCTCATAATACTAATTGAATTACACAGAGAGAGTTATCATAATAATTTCTTCAGCCCATACCTTTAAAACTGAATTTTAAATAACGATCAGTATTCAGCACACAAACATCCAAAGCTAGCTACTTCGCAGGAAAACATGCAAACGTTAATTTCCTCTAATCTCAGTTTCTCACTGATTGCAGTTAAATTGTATGAGTTTGAAGAGGAGCTTCTATATATAGACAGAAACGCAGACATTTATTAACACTTGCTGCCTTGGTACCAATTAAATACAGTACTCTCATTTGGCCTATAAAGCTTGAACAATCATATTGTAAAACATGGCTCGGACCTTGGTAACCCCAGTATTGTCTCTTTTTTTCGTTACCTATCCTGTTTCCCCAAAAATAAGACCTAACCTGAAAATAAGCCCTAGTATGATTTTTCAGGATGCTTGTAATATAAACCCTACTTCGAAAATAGGCCCCAGTTAAGTTAAACCCCACTCTCCAGCATTGTGCAGCAACCAGAAGAAGATGACATGACTGTAAAATAAAGCATCCCCTGAAAATAAGCCCTAATGCAGGTTTTTTTTTTTTTGAGAAAAATTAATATAAGACCCTGTTTTATTTTCGGGGAACATGGTACCAAAATACTTAAGACGAGTAGGTGGCTGTGAAAGAAACAATCATCTTATCTGATGAGAAGGTTCAGCTTACTTGAAACTTATTAGCAATCTAATAAAAGTACTGCCTAACCTTGAACTTTATTTCTACCAACACATCATATAGACCCTTTTTACACTTGCCTTTAGAAATACCATGATTCGCCATTAGAGAGAAATTCTGCCTTGAAAAGAGGCTTTTCCACGAGACTGAACCTCAGTAAGAATTCTATATCCTAACCCCCTAGGTATGGCAATCAGTTTGGCTGGAATTTACTTTTTAACCTGGTGTGATAACAAAATTTATTCTCCCATTTTGCTGCCTGGGACTTTGCTTTGTATTTTTCTGTTTCAAGACAACCAGAGAAGTTTGTGCCGGATCTGTTTGGGAGAGCATGCTAGGCTTTTGTCTACATATGACTCGTAAGAGGAGAAAGACTGTAAATTTATATCTTTGTCAACTCTATCTCATGTGAAATCTAGACTTCTTCTTTTAGACTAGATTTTATGCTATCTATACCTGAAGAGACTTCTGAAGAACTTGAAAGCTTGTCTTATTTCTACCTTTTTGGTGATCTGATAAAAATACTGCCCAACCTTCAATGTTGTTTCCATTAATGGAACACACTGTCACTTTTTGTACAACCTTCTCAGTAGTGGTGGTCTGCAGCTGTCGAGTGTCCTCCCCGGGAGACTCTTCTGGCATGTTGTCTTTCCAGCCTAACTGCAGAGATGCAACATTACAAATGCTTATCCTGCAATAATAAGAACAATTAACATTTTCACACAATAGAAAAGCTTTTCCTGGACCCCATCAAGACAATTTGCAAACTCTGAGCCATTTCCATATCAAGTCATAGGGGGTTTGTGCAACACAAGTAATTAATTTAATCAACTCAGTCTATGACCAAAAAAAATCCCTAATTACACAACGTCTTATCCTTACATCTGAGTGAGTAGTTCTGTTGAAGGACACTCTTGCTAAAAGGGTTTTTTGTAGCTTGTCTTCATTATTATTCACATGCCATGTCAGTCTCCCAGATATGGCAATACTCCAGGTAATCCAGAACCAAAAATCAATGAGACTAGGCACTCGCAAGCCAGTGGATCAGCCTGGTGAAGATAGCTGCCTCCACACCTACAGAAAACAACCCAGAATCTAGGTAGCTGGTACTTCTGGCCCTCTCAGTCAAAAATCCAGGCAACTGCTTGAAAGTATTTTTGTAATTTATTTAAAAAGAAAGGAAAGGTTGGTGTGAGGCAGGTTGTAGGCCCAAGAATGCCACTGCAAGAGTGCCGTCCATTTCACCAGGGAAGGGAGATAAACTGGTTAAACCCCAGCCTAGGTGAAGCTGGATAGAGTGGAAAGTGACCACCTCCGCAAGGGAGAGGACAGAGGAGGATACAACAGGAATAGGACTGAAGTCAGGGCTTGAGCAATTAAAGGTGGGTGAAGTGGTGGAGGAGCTTTCAGAGCAGTTAGAAAAGATGGGAATGGAAGAGGGGGAAGAAGAAGGATATAAATAGGCCCTGCCTCTCAAGAAGAGGACTAGTACTGTAGAGGAAGGAGAAGTGGATGCAGAGAAAAGGAAGAAATCTCGCCAGGGTGGGTATGGAATGAACTAGAAAATCCTGGACCCATAGGTAGGAGAGACTGATGATGCCCTAAGGAGGAGGCAGAGAGGAGAAAGTGTGAGGTTGTTGCCCAAAATACATTATATTAGGGAGATGGTGTATAAGAGAGGAGAGGGCTAAGACAGAAAGGGAGAAGAGTGAGTAAGACCGATGGCAGAAGCTAGCCGAGAATGAGAGTGGTGGGAGCCGGAGCCATGAATGGTCCAGAAGCCGGGAGACAGAGGGTGATGGTTTAAGGGGACATTCTCAAGTAACATGGTTGCATTGCCAGTACCACTAGGCAGGGCATTGATAGACACTGACCTGGATCTGAGTCAAGAGCAGTTTGGTTTTGTTGTGGAATCTTTGTTGGAGACTCAAGATTACAACTCCTTTCTGACAGTTCCGGTTGATGTTAATAGTTTCTACTGTGTTTCCCAGAAAATAAGACAGGGTCTTATATTAATTTTTGCTCCAAAAACCGCATTAGTGCATATTTTCAGGGGATGTTTTTTTCCAAGTACAACAATCATTTATTCAAACACAGTCATATCATCTTCTGGTTGCTGCACAATGGTGGAAGGTGGGGTTTCACTTAACTGGGGCTTATTTTTGGGCTAGGTCTTACTGTATATTAGGAGCATCCTGAAAAATCATCCTAGGGATTTATTTTCAGGTTAGGTCTTATTTTCTGAGAAACAGAGTAGATGTTCCCACAATAAATGTTGAAGGTTTGAAGCAAGAATTACATGTAATGTAATTCAATGAGGCAAAGGGGAACCTGGAGATGATTTGACCCGAAAAGAAGCTGAACCCTCATAGTGAGAGAGAACATTTTAAAATGATAAATGTTCTAAATGGTTACAAGAAAAGGTTTCTCGAAGCACAGAGCAAATTGTGATTGCAGGTTTATAGCATTCAAGGCACCTGAAAAAAATCTCTGTGTCTCATATTAATGCCTAAACAAAGAGAGAAATAATAGTTCTAGGTCTCCTCTGCTAGGCTATACCTGGCATAGCTTCATACATGGCTCATGGACACAATTTCTCCCTCCCAAGACCAAGCCAAAAAACAAGTTTTCTTCTATGTATGTCAACAGGCCATTTTCATACCTGGTGCCCACAATCTCTTAATAGTATTTAATCCCCTTTGATCATTCCACAAACAAAAGACATCTTTCTGCTTCACTCCAACTCTCAGCTCTGAAATCTGCATAACCTGGAGGAAGGAAACAGGCTGATTAGATTCCCTTTTGAAGCTTCAAACAACCAAGCATTTCTATGAGGAAAGGCATTAGCCTTGCTTTTATTCATGCAATTGCACCTGACAGTATGAAAGGTGTATGTGTGTGCATGTGTTCAAATGTATGGGGGGAAAAGTATTATGTGTACAACTGAATAGTGACTTTTTACTGAAAATAAACAACACTTAAGTTTTAGAATGTTTCCATAGATGATCCATAGGATCCCTTCCAGCTCTTCGGTTCTAACATGATGATGATAAAGAGGAATGTGCAGAACCCTCCCAACCATGCCTGAATAAAGGGAGCACAAGATTGGGATTGACCAGCCCTATACCCCTTCAGCAATCCTCTGGCTGAATCCTTATCTGGTTCCAAGATAATATTTGGACATTTCTGATTCTACATGAAGACCCCATTCCTACAAATGAATAAACAAAACTGCAAATCCAAGTCATAGACTAAATGGTGCAGACAAAACAGAAGAGGACCTGGTCATGACAGTGATAGCTGATGAGCTGGGCACTCTGTTTTATTTCTATTTTCCACGTTTTTCCAATCAAGAGAATAAAGCTGCCAGCTGCTTCCTAAGGCAGTCACCAGGAGAGAAATGAGTAAAGGACAACAGACAGACTTCACTTTGATTCCTTCTTAAAATTGTCTCTGA